TCTATAACATTATACAGGCTCAAAGTCCCCGGGGCTCGGGAAGCCCTTGTAGGTCAGTGGGTAGGGCGCCCGCCCCATATACCGTGGGTGGAAGGTTCGACCCTGACTCCGGCCAAACTTCAACAAAAAACAGCCGAAGGTTATGACGGGCGCCTGTAGTCTCAGCTACTCGGGAGGCTGAGGCAGGAGAATCGCCTAAGCCCTGGAGTTGAGGTTGCTGTGAGTTGTGACACCACAGCATTCTACCGAGGGCGATAGAGACCCTGTGTCTTAGAAAAAAAAAAAAAGTCCCTAGGTCTTGTGATCGTGGCGGAAGCGGCTAGAAGGCGGACCCGAGAAGGGCGGAGAGACGTTACGTTGACGCAGCGTGGCCCTGCCCCTAAGGGCTTTGGCGGGATTTCCGAAAGTCGCGGGACGCTGTGAGCGTTCTGGCGGATCCCAAATCCTGAGGGAAACTGAAGGGCTGCTTGAGACGCGTAGTTGGAAGCTGAAACTCGCCGAAGGTCGGGAAAAAGTAGTAGAGAAGTGGGGCTCAAGCCAGGGGACTGGGGTCCGCGCGGAGTTGGAGGCGTGCTAGCCCAGCGGACTGAAGTCGGATTGCGCGGCCCGCCAGAGCGAGCCCGGCTGCCCGCCGAGGTAAGAGACGCAGGCCGGGCTCTTTTCAGCAGCCGCGGCTCGTTCCCTTGTTACTGGATCGGGACCCGGGCTGGTGCTCCCTCACTTGGCTTTTGGAGCCGCTACGCCAAGTGAGAAAGCCGGACATGATGGGGCGAAACAGAGCATGCCCAAACGACCGTCACAGCTCGTCAGAACCAAGCAGACCCCAGTCTTCAGAGCTAGAGGGGAGACCTCCAGGTCTCTTCATGTCCAACACCCATTGTTACGGTCTTGGGCGAAGTCCAGAAAGGTGGAGTCATAGCTATTTAATGTCAGAACCAGGGTTTCCGGATTCCTGGTCAGTCTAATTTCCGTTACACCGAAATTTTGTTTTTAAGGTACCAGTTCCAGTTGCTAAAAAGGTATATTTATCATCTAATGCCGAAGACCATTCAGTGATGCCTAGGGAATGATCTGCAGTGTTTTTTTTTTTTCTTAACTTCTAAAGTGAAGTGTAATGTACATACAGAAAAATGGGTACAATGTAGAGCACAGTCACAATTCTATACAGCTCCACGGATTATCACAAAATGAATATGCTATGTAGCTATGTAATAATTGAGATCAAGAATTACCATGCACCCCTCGTCTAATATTTTCTCCTTTTTTTTCAGTAGTAATAGCTATATCGTCTATATTGTATTGATTCCTAACACGATCACATTTGTCTCCTTTTTTTTTTGAGACAAAGTCTCACTTTGTCACCCTTGGTAGAGTGCTGTGACGTCATAGCTCACAACAACCTCAGACTCCTGGGCTCAAGCAATCCTCTTGCCTCAGCCTCCCAACTAGCTGGAATTACAGGCACCCACTACAATGCTAGGCTATTTTTAGAGATGGGTTCTCAAACTGGTGAGCTCAGGCTATCAGCCCACTTCAGCCTCCCAGAATGCTGGGATTACAGGCCTGAGCCACCGCACCTGGCCTATTTGGGTATTTGTTTTTGTTTGCTTTTTTTGGAGATGGAGTCTCACTCCGTTGCCCAGGCTGGAGTGTCCTGGCATCAGCCTGGCTCATAGCAACCTCAAACTGGTGGGGTTCACGTGATCCTCCTGCCTCAGCCTCCTGGGTTGCTGGAATTACAGGTGCCTGCCACAATAGCAGCTAATTGTTTTATTTTCATTAAGAGATGGGATCTCGGCTCAGTGCCTGTGGCTCAAGTGGCTAAGGTGCCAGCCACATACACCTAAGGTGGTGGGTTGGAATCCCCAGCCCGGGCCCGCCAAACAACAATGATGGCTGCAACCAAAAAATGGCCAGGCATTGTGGCGGGCGCCTGTAGTCCCAGCTACTTGGGAGGCTGAGGCAGGAGACTCGCTTGAGCCCAGGAGTTGGAGGTTGCTGTGAGCGTGATGCCATGGCACTCTACCCAGGGGGATAGCTTGAGGCTCCGTCTCAAAAAAAAAAAAAAACAAAGAGATGGGATCTCTGTTGCTTAGGATGGTCTTGAACTCCTGAGCTCAAGGAAGCTCCCAGAGTGCTAGGATTAGAGGCCTGAGCCGCCCTGCCCTCCCTTGGATTGTCTTTTTCTTCCTGATTTGAAGGAATTTCATATATTTATTTTCTGGTTATCAGCCCTCAGTTGTATATGTGGTAAATTTTTTCTCCTCCTACTATGGGTTAACTTTTCTTTCTTTCTTTTTTTTTTTTTGAGACAGAGCTTCAAGCTGTCCCCCTGGGCAGAGTGCCCTGGCATCACAGCTCACAGCAACCTCCAAGTCCTGGGCTCAAGCGAGTCTCCTGCCTCAGCCTCCCAAGTAGCTGGGACCACAGGCACCCGCCACAACGCCCAGCTATTTTTTGGTTGCAGCCATCATTGTTTGGTGGGCCCGGGCTGGATTCAAATCCGCCACCTTAGGTGTATGTGGCTGGCGCCTTAACCATTTTCATTCTTATAATGGTATCTTTTGATAGAAGTTCTGAATTAAGTGTACTTCAGTTGTTTGTTTTTTTCCCTTTTGATTATTCCATTATATATTCAGTTCCAGAAAAAAAGCTTTCTCTATCTGAAGATCATGAAAATAGTCTCCTGTATTTAAAAAATTTTACTGCTTACATTTAGATCTGTGATCTAAATTGGAAATTGATTTTTTTCTGTGGTGTGAGAGATCAAGTTCCTTTTATTCTATAAGGCTATCCAATCAAACTACCACTATTGGGAAAAAAGTTCATTCCTATTACTCTGCAGTGCTTTTTTGTAAATTATGAAAGGAGATATTTAGATTTACATTGCATTCAGATGATTCTGATACATGGGATTATCATTGACTCACACCTAAGAGATATGTGCTTAAACCAATCTTTTGGTTTATATCAATTATTGTTGACTACAGTCACCCTACTGTGCAGTATAAAATACCAGAACTTATTTCTTCTATCTTTAACTTTGTACCTGTTGACCAACTTCTCCCCTCCCAGCTGTTCTCCCAGCCTCTTGTAACTACTATTCTGCTCCTTCCTCTGAAATCAACTCTTTGGATTCCAGATATGAACGTGATAATGCCATTAGTCCTTCTACAAACATATAACATTTATAATATGTCTTGGGGTGTATAAAAATAAACAAGACCTACTCAGTGCCTGTAGCATAGTGGTTATGGTCCCACCCACATACACCCAGGCTGGCAGGTTCGAACCTGGCTCGGGCCAGCTAAACAACAATGACAACTGCAACAAAAAAATGGCCAGGCATTGTGGTGGGTGCCTGTCGTCCCAGCTACTTGGGAGGCTGAGGCAAGAGAATCGCTTAAGCCCAAGAGTTTGAGGTTGCTGTGAGCTGTGATGCCATGACACTCTACTGAGGGTGACAAAGTGAGACTCTGTCTCAAAAAAAAAAAAAAAAAGAGATAAATAATTAAACAAGACTTGGCCCCTACCTTGAGGAATATAAAGAAGAACAGGGAGCATTATTTACTTAGTTAAGATGTATTTTTTTTTTTTTTTTAATATGGCATGCCTCACGAATTTGCATGTCATCCTTGTTCAGGGGCCATGCTAATCTTCTCTGTATTGTTCCAATTTTAGTATATGTGCTGCCAGAATGATCTTGGCTCTTCCTAAAGTCTTTCTGATACAAATAACTGGCCAGATAGATAGATAGAAAAGCTGGTGACAGGTTTGCTCTTTTTCTTTTCTTTTTTTTTTTTCAGTGACAGAGTCTTACTCTATTGCCTGGGGTAGAGTGCTGTGGCATCATCACAGCTCATAGCAACCTCAAACTCTTGGGCTCAAGTGATCCTCTGGTCCCAGCCTCCCAGGTAGTTGGGACTACAGGTGCCCACAACAACACTTGGCTAAGCAGTTTTTGATGGTTTCAATATGTCATCCCAATTGGGGCTGTTTTTCCAGGATGTCTATGGTGTTCTCATCAAGCCCCGCAACCAGCAGAGAGCACATAATGGGGGACAAAAACCTCCTTCTAGAAGAGTAGGGAGAGGTTGTTTGAGGCTCCTTTGAGCAAACATTGTTTCTACTCCCTCATGATGCCCTTTTCAGGGGCCCTGGAGCTCTTGGGCACAGGCACAGGTGCTCTCAGACGCAGCGGGGGCTTGGCACGCTGGCAGCATCCTGAAGAAACTCACTGGCTACCTCTCAGCCTCCTCTGGCCTCTCTGAGCTGCTCTGGGCACCCTCTTTCTGGCGCTGTACCTACTGCAGAAAGGTTTGGCTGCTCCATGGTTTTCCCAGAAGCCCAGGGACTGGTTCTCATTGGTGTAGCTCGGTACACAGCCAATCACTGGCCTGGGAGGCAATCTGCTCTGATTGGCTTGGCCCAGGAGCATAGCCCTGATTACAGGCAGGGCCTTATTTTTTTTTGTTGCTCAGATCATTCCAGCTTCAGACACTGAAAGCTCTTTTAGTTGGCTTCTCTGCCCCTTTTACATGTCCTGGTCATCATGGGGGTTTTTGAGGATGTCCTTCCTTTTTGGCATTGAAATGTTCCAGACACATCTTCTCCATTTCCTGGCCCTGCCCTGGAATCTGCCATTCTCTGAGGAGTCCTGGCTTCCCTGTCATGGTGGTTTTAGAAACCTATATCACAGTGTGGACATGCTCTTTGTTGTTTTTTTTTTTGTTTTTT